GGGGGGGGGGGAAACACTAAAGGTTTATTTTGAGTGCACTCACTCGTCATGCAGCTTCTTTAGATCTTCAGAGGGTTTGTCAACCGGATTCCCTGAAGAAGATATGAAGAATCTCTCAGCTTCATCTGAACTGCATCTCCTGTGCCTCCTCTTGATCATCGCTGAACGCAGATACTCGTAGTAAACCTCAAACCACTGCATGATGGACAGAAGAGAACGATGTGAGGTTCTGACCGATCAAAGCAGCTCATTGTAATATCATTTATTATTAATCTTACCGCTTCCTCCTCTGACAGGACAAAGAAGGCATCACATTGGTTTACTTCCACCATGGTTCGTTCACCATTTCCCTCAGTGTATGTCCACCGCAGCCAATCAGAAACCTGCAAACAATTCAAACAATAATAAGCCAAAATGACTCTCAATCAGACACTAAAAGTGAGCAGATTTAACTGACCATGTCACAAGCTCATCTACTGTCACGTGGGTCACTGACGTCATTGGCTACAGTGTCAAAATACACACAACTCTCTCAAAAATACATGAAGAGTCTGACTTGGTTTTACATTTCTAATGTGAGTCGTTTCATTATTTATTGTCAATATATACAGTACATGAATCATTTTAGGTCACCTGTAGGAAATTTCTGGACATTCATGATATGCATTTGACATTTGTTTTGAAGTTGTGTATTTAAAATCATATTTTGAGATTTCCGGTCATTGGATTTATATAAGTCTATGTGCAGGAGGCCATGTCACTCACGGTCATATTCTTCACCACGTCTGGCTGTTGGAGGAACCACAGCATCACTAGGGCCTCCAGGAAATACAGCACCAGCAGCTCCTGTTCTCTCAACATTTCTCCAGTATCATCTATCATAACTTGAGCAATGATTTTCAAGAAATCGTCTTCAGCAGACTGCAAGATCCGCCAGCACTGGCCTGCTGAAAGAACCCTGCAGGAGAAAGTGAAGGACATCAGAAGAACATGAGACTCATGAGAGCCAGGATTTAACACTCAAAAATATGAATGAATGCATGTGTGTGTGTGTGTGTGAGTGAGTGTGTGTGTGTGTGTGTGTGTGAGTGTGTGTCTGTGTGTGAGTGTGAGTTTGTGTGTCTGTGTGTGGTATTTTGGTCAATGTTCCCACAATACCTGTAAATTTTGACCTTGTTGGGACATTTTTTGGCCCCCATGAGGAAACAAGCTTATAAATCACACAGAATGAAGAATGAAGTTTTGAGAATGTTAAAAATGCCTGTAGTTCCCTTTCATGGGAACTTCGAACAGCATCCTCTAGGGGTCGCTATGGGGAACGCCTCGTCGTGACCCGTGTCTGAAGCATACTTTGAAAAAACACCAACAACACGTTGGCCAGCGGCAGCCATGACGTCACTACCGGTGCGACTATAGTATAAATAGGCGCCGTGAGAACACATCATCCTCTTCTTCGTCTTCATTGACTGTTCTGTTTGAAGCGTGCATTCCAAGGAAAAAGTAAGAGTTATCTCTATTTATTATGGCGAGCACTAGCAGAGCATTTAGAAGGTGT